GGGAACCCATTTTTTCTGCCAGGGGCCATTTGGATCTTTATAACATCATTCGCTCAATGTAATTCGCTTTATACAAACTCATGTTGCTATGGAAAAAGCTTCTAAATTCATGGAATTTCGAGTTCTACCTGGGATTCCTTGCGAGACCTTATACTGCCCGTCTATGCATCTATCATCTAGGTATCTAATGCATCTTTACCTATTTATACAGAAATAGAAAAAGGAATTGATTTACTGTAACTAATTCGCTTACACGATATGGAGGCCAGCGTGTCCAAAATCCATCGGTCAGGCCGGCAAAGTGGAAATCCCGGGAAACCTTATTTTTATCTTTTTAAATATATTTTTATTAATTTCAGAGAGGAAGGGGGAGAGAGAGAGAGAGAGAGAGAGAAACGTCCATGATGAGAGAGAATCACGGATCGGCCGCCTCCTGCACGCCCCCTACTGGGGATCGGGGCCACAACCTGGGCCTGTGCCCTTGATGGGAATCGAACCATAGCGGCCTGGTGCACAGAATTCATGCACTCGGGGGATGTCCGACTGACGGCTTAGGCCTGCTATCTTAGGGAGTGGGCCTAAGCCGTCGGTCGGACATCCTTAGCGCTGGAACGGAGGCGGGAGAGGCTCCCGCCACCGTTAGCCCAGCTTCTGGTGCTCTGACCACCAGGGGGCAGCTCCTGCATTGAGCATCTGCCCCCTGGTGGTCAGTGCACGTCATCGCGGCCGGTTATTCCACTTTTTGATCGATTTGCATGTTAGCCTTTTATGATATAGGATAATGGGTATAGGGGGGAACCGATTCACCATTCTCACTACTTCTGCATACGTTTGCCGTTTTTATTTCACGGGAGGATAAAAATTCAATCTAACCTGACAAAGACTTCGGGAGGCGGGATATTGTCAAGCGTCCTGTCCTGTTCTCCCATCCATTTCACCCTAAATCTCTTAGCAGAACCACGTTCCTGAAAACCACAATGACATGATCTTAAGAAAATAACTGAACGATGAGTTTTCGGTCAGGCCCAGTAGGAAAAGAAGTCACCCACCTCCTCTGATGTGAGTAACACATTTCCCAACAATTTTTCCTGTAAAACCCAGCGGTTCCAGGCATCTCTCTGAGTCACTAATAAGAAACACGACTTCGGTAATGGCCCCCAGCGTGGACATGGTAACACCATGTATAAATGCTCTGGGCTATGGGTATATCTTTCTTATTTTCAAAAAAAAAAATATGTTTTTATTGATTTCAGGGAGAGGGATAGAGACAGCAATGAGAGAATCGTTGATGGCCTGCCTCCCGAACATTTACAGCGTGGAATACTATGCAGCCGTGAAAAAGGAGTCCTGGCTGGTGTGCCTCAGTGGATAGAGCGTCGGCCTGCGGACTGAAGGGTCCTGGGTAAGATTCTGGGCAAGGGCACGTGCCCGGGTTTTGGGCTCCATCCCCAGTGGGGGGCGTGCAGGAGGCAGCCGATCCATGATTCTCTCTCATCATGGATGTTTCTATCTCTTTCTCTTTCTCCCTCCCAGTAAAATATAAATAAAATAAAATAAATAAAATAAAATAAAATAAATAAAATAAATAAATAAATGAAATGAATGAATAAATAAAATAAATAAAATAAAATAAATAACATAAAACAATAGATGGTGTTCTGAAGAATTCCATGTTTAAAAGGACTTGTACGCAGGCATGTTAGCGTAACCAATGGTCACAGGCTCTGGGGCGGTGGGGGCTTGGCCTGGGGTGGGAATGGCTGGAGGGGGGTGGGGGTGGGGTAAATGGAGGGAGAAAGAGACATATGTACAACTTTGGGCAATAAATTTTTAAAAAGAAGAAATTATGCAAATAATCATAATTTCAAAAAAGGAATTCCGTCCTTGTCTTTGTGGGCTTGACAGAGTAGCCTAGGGGCACGGCCCATTGGCTGTGAACATGGTAGAATCTCTTTGCATGAATATCTATATCTATATCTATATCTATATCTATATCTATATCTATATCTATATCTATATTATATCTCGATCTATGGCGATATCTATAGATATACTATATCTATAATCAATATCTATATCGATCTATATCTATATCTATATCTATATCTATATCTAATCTATATCTATATCTATAGCTATTTTTCTAATATCTAGATCATAATCTATAGCTATCTATACTATATCTATATCTATATTCTAGATCTATATCATATTCTAGATCTATATCATTATCTATATCGATATCTATCAATATCATATCTAATTCTATATCTAGACCTATACATAGATACCTAGATCTATACGAAATCAGATCTATACTATATCAAGAGCAATATCTATTCGATATCTATATCTAGATCTATATATAATCGAAATCTAGATCAATTCGATATCTATATCAATATCAAGATCTATGTCTAGAGATAATCTATAATCTTTTCTATATCTAATCTATATCTATATCGATAGCTATTTCTATTCTATATCTATATCTATATCAATAAGCTAGATCTATCGATATCAAGATCTATATCTTATATAATATCTATCTATACTTATCTGTATCTATATCTATATCTATATCTATATATCTATATCTAATCTAATACTATATCCAGATATATCTATAGCATATCTATATCTATAGCTAGATCGAAATATATATAGATATCTATATCGTATCTAGTCTATGTCTATGTCCATATCTATATCTTAAGATTATTCTATATCTATATCTATATCATAACTAGATCTATATCTATATCTGTATCTGTATCTGTATCTGTGTCTATGTCTATGTCTATATCTATATCTATATCTATATCTATATCTATATCTATATCTATATCTATATCTATATCTATATCTATACCTATATCATCTATGTCTATATCTGTATCTATATCTATATCTATATCTATCTATCTATCTATCTATCTATCTATCTATCTATATATATATATATATATTTTCTAATATCTCCCATCGAATGTTCCCAATGACTTTATGATGATGATGATTTTTTTTTTTTTTTGGCTAAAGACTTCAGCCCACACTCCGAGGCCTCGCATCCACCCCCCCGGCGATGATGGGGCGGGAATTTCCCGTGATTCACGGAGAGCATAGGGTGGGGTGTCGGTGACCTCAGTGTGATTCCTGAGGGGTGATGGGGCCTTGGGAATTGTGTGAAAGAAAGAAAGAACAAAGGAACGAGAGAGAGAGAGAGAGAGAGGGAGAGAGAGAGAGAGAGTCCTGGCCCGTGTGGCTCAGTGGTTAGAGCACCAGCCCACGCACTGAAGGGTCCCGGGTTCGATTCCCGGTCCAGGGCACGGATCTCGGTGGATCGCTCAACGGCCAGCCGTGGGGCAGCCGATCTACGATTCTCTCTTCCCATCATGGATGTTTCTCTGTCTCTCCTCCTTCCTTCCAAAAGCTGCAATAAAAACAATTTTTTTAAAAAAAATGAATGGAAACATAGACTTGGCTGAGAATTAGCACAAAAGGAAAGAAAGGAAGAAAGAAAGAAAGAAAGAAAGAAAGAAAGAAAGAAAGAAAGAAAGAAAGAAAGAAAGAAGCCGGTGTGGCTCAGTGGGTAGAGCAGTGGCCTGCAGACTGAAGGGTCCCGGGTTCGAATCCCGGTCAAGGGCACAGGCCCGGGTTGTGGGCTCCATCCCCAGCCGGGGGCGGGCAGGAGGCGGCCGGTCCATGATTTTTCTCGCAACATTTTTTTTTTAAAATTATAAACACTGGTAAATCCCATGAGTATATTATATTTTATTTATTTTAAATATATATTTAATGATGTCAGAGAGGAAGGGAGAGAGAGAAGCATCCATGATGAGAGAGAATCATGGACCGGCTGCCTCCTGCCCGCCCCCCGCTGGGGATGGAGCCCCGAACCCGGGCCTGTGCCCCTGACCTGGAATCGAACCCGGGACCCTTCAGGCTGCAGGCTGGTGCTCTATCCACTGAGCCACACCGGCCAGGGCTCTCTCTTCATTGACGTTTCTGTCTCTCCCTTCCTCTCCGAAATCACCCATAAAAATATATTTTAAAAAGAAAGGAAGGAAGGAAAGAAGACATTACAATTAAATTAATAAAATATAAAGTAAAATAAAGTAAAATAAAATAAAGTAAAATATAAAATAATATAAAATATAAAATAAAGTAAAATAATAAAATAAAATGAAATAAAATAATAAAATTAAATATAAAATTAAAATTAAAGTAAAATAATAAAATAAAATATAAAAAATAAAATATAAAATAAAATAAAGTAAAATAAAATAAAGTAAAATATAAAATAAAATAAAATATAAAATAAAGTAAAATATAAAATAAAATAAAGTGAAATAAAATATAAAATTAAAGTAAAATAATAAAATAAAATATAAAATAAAAGAAAGTAAAATAAAATAAATTAAAATATAAAATAAAATATAAAGTAAAATAATAAAATAAAATGAAGTAAAATAATAAAATAAAATTTAAAATTAAAGTAAAATAATAAAATGAAATAAAAAATAAAATAAAGTGAAATAAAATATAAAATTAAAATTAAAGTAAAATAATAAAATAAAATATGAACTAAAATAAAGTGAAACAATAAATAAAATAAAATAAAATAAAATAAAATAAAGTAAGACCATCCAGGGTGTGTTTTAAAAATGGCCCGGGCAGCAGAGACGGAACTAAACACGGATCGCCCAGTCACCTCCCGAACGCGATGAGAGCAGACGTGGAATTGGGGCCAATTCAGGGGGAATTGGGGGCCGTACGTTCGCTCTTTCTGAGTCGAATGGCCATCCCAGAGCTTGGGAAGAAAAGAAATGAATAAAAAAGGCCTGAAATCCTGGAAAGGGCTGCCTAACATTTTCCGCGTCCCAGAGCCAGACGAGAAGCTGCACCGACTATAAAAATAAAATGAAATGAGAAAGCGACGGTGATCGCACCAAGAAAAACACGTCCGTCCTAGAAGCTCGGGATGGAAAATGCACGTTCCAGCCCTGGCTTCCCCGGCCCGGGAAATCGGGGTGCAAAGGCTGAGGGGAGCAGAGGGCTGAGGTTTCCAAGGAGAATCAACCCCCTGGTTTCCCAGTAAAGATGCTACTTCTCAAGGACGGCGGGGTCCTGGGTTCGAATCCAGTCCAGGGCGCGTGCGGGAGGCACCCCATCCATGTGTCTCTCTCACATCGATGCTTCCCTCTGTCTCCCCCTCCCTCCCACTCGCTCTAAAAATCAATGGAGCCCGGCCGGTGTGGCTCAGTGGTTAGCGTCGGCCTAGGAGCCAGGAGGTCCCGGGTTCGATTCCCGGTCCAGGGCACACGCCCGGGGTTGCGGGCTCAATCCCCAGTGGAGGGCGTGCAGGAGGCGGCCGATCCATGATTCTCTGTCATCATGGATGTTTCTCTCTCTCTCTCTCTGTCCTTCTCCCTTCCTCTCTCTGAAATCAATAAAAATATATATTTTTTAAAAAATCAATGGGAAAATATCCTCAGGTGAGGATGAACAACAACAACGACACAAATCAGGATAATTCCCGGGGGACTGAGAATGTGCCTGGATGAGTTCTCAGCTGTTGACATCACAAACACCCCAAATAGGGTGGATTAAATGGCAGGAATTTGTTTGTTTAGTGACTAGAGGCCCCGGTGCACGAATTCGTGACCGTTATTCAAACACTTGAGGCCCCGGTGCACGAATTCGTGACCGTTATTCAAACACTTGAGGCCCCGGTGCACGAATTCGTGACCGTTATTCAAACACTTGAGGCCCCGGTGCACAAATTCGTGACCATTATTCAAACACTTGAGGCCCCGGTGCACGAATTCGTGACCGTTATTCAAACACTTGAGGCCCCGGTGCACGAATTCGTGACCGTTATTCAAACACTTGAGGCCCCGGTGCACGAATTCGTGCACCAGTGGGGTCCCTCTGCCTGGCCTGCGGGATGGGGTTGAAGCCGGCTCTCCGACCTCCCCCGAGGGGTCCCGGATGGCGAGAGGGCGCAGGCGAGGCCGAGGGACCCCACTGGTGCACAATCGGGGCCGGGGAGGGACATGGGAGGGCTCCAGGGTGTGTCCGGCCCGTCTCGCTCAGTCCCGATTGGCCGGACCCCAGCAGCAAGCTCACCTACCAGTTGGAGTGTCTGCCCCCTGGTGGTCAGTGCACGTCACAGCGACTGGTCGACCAATCAATCGTCTGCCCCCTGGTGGTCAGTGCACGTCACAGCGACTGGTCGACCAATCAATCGTCTGCCCCCTGGTGGTCAGTGCATGTCACAGCAGGCGGTTGAGCGGCCT